TATCGAGACAGCCGTTTCTACAAAGCAACACCGCCATCTCCACACATCAAACAGCCACATTCACCAAACACAGAAGAAGAAGAAGAAGAAGAAGAAGAAGAAGAAGAAGAAGAAGAAGAAGAAGAAGAAGAAGAAGAAGAAGAAGAAGAAGAAGAAGAAGAAGAAGAAGAAGAAGCTTGTTTTAAAGGCCAGACAGAATCGTTAAGAATCTGCTCTGTTTTCAAATATTACAAATAAATTTAAAAAAACGCTGGAAGTTCATTCTATGAATGCTCCAAACTATTCTTTTTAAACTAGGGTGGCAATACATGATATGTTGTTCTTGGTGCAGATAATGAACAGGCAGTAAGCATCATTCCGTTCATTCAGATGGAGTCTTTCTTTCGTAGTTTGGTCCATCATTTCTGTCATGGCTGAGCATTCTTTTACTAGGAATTTTCTTCTTTTTTCGAAGCTCCTTATACTTTTTTAAAATCAGGTTAGATTATTGGTCATTTTTTTAAGATGTTGTGATCCTTAAAAAAAGAAATCCTCAAATACGTTGCTCAGTTGATAATAAAGTAATTTAATATTTTTTATAATAAACACACTTTCTTTGATGATTATAACTAGTCAGATGCTTTGTTATTGTTCAATCCAAACGGTTTGCTGTCCCGTGTGGCACACAGGACAGCAAACCGTTTGGATTGAACAATAACAATCCTAGGCAGCCACCACTCAAATCTGAATCTAAAGACACTAAAATACAAACAATATAAGTGTAGGCTAATCTTTGTCTAGAAATGTGCACGAATATGTAAGTCTAAAGAAATGAAGTTTCAATTAATTGAATTGACGACACAACAAATATTTTGTCTAAACTGCAGGTTTACGTCTAGCGTCTGATTGTCAGGCAACTTGTGCAACGTGTCATTAGTCAGGTCTGCCACATGTTAGCCATGAACTCTAAGAGCTGGAAGACATGATGGACAGCACTATGTCAATAAAACCAAATGGGCAACCAACAGATATTATACTTTTCAAATGTCAGTTCAAAACAAAGTTTGTTAATCTAATCCTGGATATTTGGATTAGGACTTTTATACTGAAAAGCTTTAGGGACACAAAAACCTGAGGAACAAGACTCTCGTCATGTAAGGAAAGTACTGAAGAGGAGCTTAAGACAGATAAGAAAGAAGAGGAGGAAGAGGGGCAACAGGAGGAGGAAGAGGAGGAAAAGGCTGCTCCGCCTCGTTATCATCTTCTGATTTCTGTTTCCTGGAGTTTTCACAAACTAACAGCTGTTATTGATCAGCTCAGAAGGAAAGGCAGGAGAGGCGATGACTTGTGATGATTTCTTCTTATCTATCACTACTACTACATTTGGTTTATATTATTTAATATTTACCACTATTTTCTGTACAGGGTTAGCAAATAAGCAGCGAGGAGGCTGTGCAATGTACATTATGTTCTGGGTGGAATACAGCTAGTTAGTTCAAGACAGTGTCAATGAGCAAGTCTGATGCTTCTCCTGCATATATCTTAAAGCAAAAAAACAATACTGTGGAAAAACAATATTATGAAAACATCTGGATTTAAAGCTGAGCAAACACAATAATTAATGTTACAACAAATACTTTATATGGTTCTTTGGTATTTTAAAGAAAGGAGAAGGTGTGTGCGCGTGTGTGTGTGTGTGTGTGTGTGTGTGTGTGTGTGTGTGTGTGTGTGTGTGTGTGTGTGTGTGTGTGTGTGTGTGTGTGTCAGAGTCCTGCATCGGGTCGGGTACTCGATGGGTGACCCGCAAAAAACATGTTTGGTTCTGGGTAAAACAAAGATGATGCGGGTAGGGTCGCGGGTGTTGCATAATAAATATATTAAAATAATAATAATTTAGTTTAATGTTTAAAGGTCCCATGTCATGCTTTTCCGGTTATTACCCGTCCCCCATGATGTTATGCGTTACCCAGAGCCAAATGGACCAATCCGTGGACGTTACGTCCGCGGAGCCGTTACGTTAAGCCCCCGCTGATTGGTCCAAATTGACCAATCCACGGACTTCCTCACACACACACTCAGTGCATGCAGCTTTGCTGATCTCTCCTCCCTGGCTGCAGGCTGATAACAGACAGTTGGGATCGCAGCGAAATTCTCTCTGCAGACCCATTCTCACAGCGTTTATCAACCTTTTTCTTACTCAATATCAAGCCACACTTATCGTTTTTACTTCGGCTGTGAGTTTGTGTGTGCTCAGGGTGAGTTTGGCTTTGTTTCGCTGTCGCTAAACAAGGAAACAACACCTCCACGGAGTTCAGCAAGCTTCACAACGTCCTGACCAATCAGAGCACACTGTGCTCACAGGGAGGGTGGGGGCTGGAGCTATTGGAGCTACAGCGAGCCATTAAAGGCAGAGAGTGAAATACAGTGCACGTAGTTTACAGAGATGCTGTATGAGAAACCAAAGTGATTTTGGAAAATTGCACACTATAAATCTATTCTAGTAGACCTCAACAATGGAATTATGATCAGTGGAAAGGGCCATGACATGGGACCTTTAAGTCCTCAGACCTCTCCCCCGCGGGACCGCGCATAATCATAACCTCTGCAGCGCATCAAACTGCTTCTGAGCGCGCCACATTCGAAATGGCTGAGTGAAGCTCTCTAGCGGAGAATACAGCATTTTCAATAACACTTCCTCAAGAGCGAAATCCAACGTCTGGGAGGCTTTTGGTGTTATCCTAGATGGAGAAAATAACCAACACCCCACGCTTTTTGAGACAAATATGCAACTGCGTGTGTTAATAATTGCACGTTTTCACTGCTCATATACTGTATATGCGGGTTCGGGTCGGGTTGCGGATCTTGTGCCGACGGGTCGGGTCGGTTTGCGGAACTAATATGTGCGGGTGGCGGGGCAGGTTGGGTATTGCACGTCGCGGGTGCGGGGCGGGAGCGGGTCTTGAAAATCAGACCCGTGCAGGACTCTGGTGTGTGTGTCTGTGTTTGTACTCACGGAGCTGGTCTTGTCCTGCAGCAGCTTCAGGCTGCTCCTGCACTGCTCCAGCTCCTGGTGGATGTTCAGCTTCTCCTTCTCTGTCCTCTCGTAGCGCTGACGGAGGTCCAACAGCTGGGACTGTGTGTCTTCATACTGCACAACAACACACACCCCATTTCACATATTTTATTCACATTCTTTTTTGGTTCTCATTTAAATGTCTTTAAATCTACAACTAATCTGTACTAATTAGTTAAAGTATTTTCTTGTTACTCCTACACCTTAATGGTTTTAAATCCCCTGTATGATTCATGTATTAAATTGAATTGTATTTTTATTGTATTAACTTGTGAGTCTCATTATTTTATCATTGCTCAGCAGAAGCTCACACTGTGCTTCTGCTTGGAAGGAAAAGTGCTGTATGAATAATGTGTTGCTTGCAGTGTGTGTGTGTGTGTGTGTGTGTGTGTGTGTGTGTGTGTGTGTGTGTGTGTGTGTGTGTGTGTGTGTGTGTGTGTGTGTGTGTGTACCTCTCTCTGCAGTGTGTGTGTGTGGGCCTGGGCCTGGTCCAGCTGGCTCTTCAGCTTGCTTGCGTCCTGCAGGTGTTGGTTCTCCAGAGAACCCAGTTTGTCCTGCAGAACCCCCTCCCTCTTCTCCAGAGACTCCAGACTGCTGCTGAGGACCTGGCTCTGCTCCCTGGTGCTGCACACAAACACACACATAACGTTTTCTTTAGCAAATCATTCTCACTTGATTCAGATTCAGAAATGTTTTATTCTGACCACAACAGGGAAATGTACAGCGTTACAAAAGCAAAGGAAAAAGGCAAAATTGGGCTAGAATATTTTAAAAAGATGCAATAAAAAGGTACAATATAATCAAATTAAACAAGTAAACAAAGATGATAGTAATAATTAGTATTATAAAGTAAGTTAATATGAAAAAGTAGTCACTGATTGAACTTTCTTCTCCTCTCTTTTGAAAACTGGTTTTAGTTGAATGTTAATTGTAAAAATAATTTCACTTCTTCTGACACTCTGGAAGGTTGTTTTTGTTTTAGGTGATCATCATTTCTGAGGTAAAAAGGGTTTATTTAGTGACATTTGCATTTATTGCACATATCTGAACCAAGTCACACTGCAACCAATCTTTGCAAGGGAACAGTTGGGAGACGTGTGTGTTAGTGCTGCTTTAAAGGTAAATGTTAGCTCTGAAATCGTGAAAAAAGCATTTCATCTTCATTTTGATCATTTCAATCTTGAGAAGCTAGCAATAGGACTGTAGACTTTAAAATGATCCAGAGTTGCCAGCGCTTTTATACTGAAAGCAGCTAGCCACATTAGCTCCAATAGCTGCTAAAGTCTAAAAGTTCCATCTTCTCAGGGATTATGAAGCTCACAGTATATGGAAGACTCTTTGTCTAATCAGTTTGATTGAGCCTAAACTAAATAATTAGACAGAAGTGTTCTGTCATTCCACAGAACCAGGTATTTAGAGCATATGCTTTATTGATTGCCGTAGCGATGTAAGGAGAATTTCAACAAATATAACAAGACATATCTTTTGAGAAGATTACCCACCCTAGCTTTGAGGATTGTTTAGGTAATAGTTTGATGTCAGCAGTTTTACCAGAGAGGTGCATTCCAGATATTCATGGAAAGTGCTGCCAATGGCACCCTAAGTTTATTGGAAACTAAACACAGCTGTAACTCAGATAAAATCCTGCTGACCTCTCGGCACGGTGAGAACATGCGGTGAAGTTTTCTCTCCATTGAGATGAGACAGAGCTGTTAACCTGCTGACAGCTCACTGTCAGTCAGCTGTCGCCCTGAATCAGCTGGACACTGCGTTTCCTGCGCTCCTTATCGTCCTCAGTCCTTCTTTTAATGCTGAATCTGAACTCTGATCAGCACCCATGGGCTTCCTGTCAGGCATCCTGAGCCAGAATTCATCAACTCCATCACGGCTGTCACACAGACTTTTAGGTCTGATTTTAACATCCGCCATCTTGGTTTGACACGCATTCCTGATATGTTCCGGCTTCATCCTCAACTTTAGATTTATCATTATTAAGAGTTTGGTTTCAGTTTGTAATGAGCACATCTTTTTTTGGATGCGTAACATTAAATATATCTATCCAAGTAAGTATTTTTATTTTGAAGACATTTTTACAGCAATACCTATAATGTTTACAAATTCTTACATTTCTGTCATGGGTTTATATGAGCAATAACATTTCCTTCATAATTTGACCAGTTCATTTTGGCTGCAACCTTTAAAATGTTTAGGTTGAATTGTTAACATTTATTTAAAAGCTCTAACATCCAACATAAAAGTGTGTTAAATGAATTAAAGTAAAACATTAAAGTAATGCTGCTTGTATTTGTGGTTGATTGGGTTAAGAACCATGTTCTTATGATGTTTGGGGGTTCATATTCGTATCAGTGGAGTGTTAGAATTTCTTTCACACACACTTTCCAGTGTGATGCTATTTATAATATCCCTAATGGTCTGTTCTGCAGCATCATCAACAGTGAAGATATTTTTGTAGATGAAGGACAACGTTTTATTTTCCATGTTTTTAACCTGTACATGTATGAAGATGTTTCTGATAAACTGATTAAACATCAGTGTCTGGCTGAACTCATTCAGTTAAGATGTAGATCAAACTAAAAATAAAAGCATGGCAAAAGAGAAGAATTATAATCCACGAGTCATTTACCTGTATTGCACTGCAAGTGTCGTGTGTGTGTGTGTGTGTGTGTGTGTGTGTGTGTGTGTGTGTGTGTGTGTGTGTGTGTGTGTGTGTGTGTGTGTGTGTGTGTGTGTGTGTGTGTGTGTGTGTGTGTGTGTGTGTGTGTGTGTGTGTGTGTGTGTGTGTCACATACCTGCTCAGCTCAGTCTCCAGGCGGTGCAGTTTGTCTGTAAGAGCTTTCCGTTCCCCTTTCAGGCCGTCACAGTCCTGCTGCAAACACACACACTGCTGCTTCAACGTAACACATTCCGCTGAGGAAGAAGAAGAGTACAGTCACCATCTGTGTGTTTTAATGACAGTGTTAGTGTTCGCACGGGGCTGTGTGCTCACCCTGCAGCTGTGTGGCGGAGCTCTGCTGCTGTTGCTGCTGCTGTGTGAAGGCCTCCTGCAGCCGGCTGATCTCCCCCTCGTACCTCCCGGCCGTGTCCCTCCAGCGCTCCAGCTCAGAGCGCACGCTGCCCAGGTCGGCCTGCAGGGCGCTGATCTCCCGCTCACGCTCCGTCGTCGCCGCCTCCATGGCGTGCCGGAGGACAATAATCTGAGGGCAGAAACACGAATCGGTCAGTTATGTCATGTAAGAGAAATATTCAGTAAACTGATAGACAGAAGGTCTCATTCAAGATTCAAGGCTTTTATTGTCATTTGTACATAGCTACAGCTACGACCCCTGCTTTACTGTCTCCTGTGGTGTGTGTATGGCCCTTTAACGTTCGCCCTCTGTTTGTGTCAGCGCTGATTGAGGACACCTGGCTGCTGGCACCGGAGGATTTAAAGGCCTGAGCTAGAGTCTTGATCTCTCTCTCCGCAGAGGACCTGTTCTGGGAGAGCAGCCACGTCGCAAATAATTTTGTCTTGCCTTTTTTTTTGGCTTTGTTCACGTTGAGTTATGTTAAAATAAACATCTTTCGTATATATATATTCTTGTCCTTTCCACGCATTTGTTATGGCTAAGAGCCAGGCCATGACAATATGTCAATGAAAATCTTAGGTCACAGGCTCCTCCAAATGTGCAACATAATAAAACAGACAAAATAGTTAAAATAGTGCAAGTAATACAAATAAAATAGAATAGAAATAGTGTCTCATACTGAATAAGAGAGGGTTTCTTTTTTGTGTCAAAAGTTGTAGGAAAGAAGTAAGAAAAGCGTGAAAAAGGAATTGGGAGGAATCATATGGTAGACAGAAGGCTGGCCATCAGTCAAAGAAGGAGACGGGAGGTTTAGAAGTTAGATAGAGTCAGTAGGAGAGGAAAGGGAGTCAAGGAGTCGGTGGTGTCAGGGAAAAGGGATTGACATGGAGCAACAGGAAGTCAGATGATTGAGTAAGAAAAGACTGGCAGGAATCATCAAGAGTCAGAGAGGTGTCAGAACGAGTAGAGGGACAATGAGAGGAGGAGTCAGAGGGAAGTCACAAAGGTGACAGAGGGCAATGAGGTGGAGTGGTACCTCCTCCTGGGCACAGTAGAGCTCCTCTCGGGTGGTGCAGATGGTGCTCTCCCTCTGCTCCCTCAGCCCCTCCATGTCGGCCTGCAGCTTCCCGAGCTGAGCTAAAACACAAACAAAAACACACACAAAAGGAGTCAAGTGTATAGTACCTAATAGACTGTGTGTGTGTGTGTGTGTGTGTGTGTGTGTGTGTGTGTGTGTGTGTGTGTGTGTGTGTGTGTGTGTGTGTGTGTGTACTCACTCTGCAGGTACTGGATCTGTTTGGTGGACTCTTCAGTCTGCCTAGAGTTACTCCTCGTCTCCTCCTCCAGCAGAGCTACAGACAGACACAGAGGGTATAACGTGTAATTGAATTTCTATGTACTAATGTTTGTAGATTGCTTTAATTATAACTTGAGGTGTGGGGTTGGTCCAGTGGAAGTCTCATTAAATAATTTTAATTGCTTAGATTTCATTTTGCAATATATATAAAACCGTTATGTTGCCATGTCATGCACAATGAGTGTAATATAACACCAAAATAGATAAGAGGCGCTTTCACACCGGAGTACTTTTCCCAGGAATAGTTCCGTTGGTTCCTGGGATTTTGCGTTCACAACAAAAAGATCTGGAACTAGAACTTTCCGGGACTTTCCTGGGGAGAAAAAGGTTCCAATTTCTGATTGGCTGGGCGGATTGCAAACCACGCCCCGTAAAACTTCCAAAAAGTTTTGTGAAGCCACCATTTTATTATCCCCGCATTAGCATTATTAGCATTAGCTTTAGCATTAGCATCAGATTTACTCTGAAGGCTTCAGTAGAAGCTGCTGGGAGTCCCAGCAGCTTCTACTGAAGCCAACTCCGGGGACTTCGGGTGGCAGTATACGCCGAGAAGTTGTTTGCGGCCTGCCAGCAAACCCAAAGCAGAAGAAGAAGAAGGGACGTCAGCGGTTTCATTTGCCTAATCCTTCCCCAGGAACTTATTCCGGTGTGAACGCGATTTACTAGATAGTTCCAGGAAATAAAAGTTCCGGGAACTATTCCTGGGAAAAGTACTTGGTGTGAAAGCGCCTAAGAACTTGAGGATCCTAATCCTAATAAGAGCTTGGGTGAACACTGCTACCTAGTATTTAAGTGTTTATTGTAGAGGGATATTTATAGACTGTCATTAATTACCTTGTAGCTCCAGACATCTCTGCTTGCCGGTGTTGGCTAGTTCCTGGGCGTCCAGAAGCTCTCTGTGGAGGTGGTGGATGACCTGCTCTGTGTCTCCAGGCTCTAGCCCGGCCCGATTCAACTCAGCTACAAAAACACAGAGGGGATCAACTTTTTAAAAATCGTCTTCATTTAGAATAATCTCTAAGCACGGGTGATGGCCATATCAAATACTACAAAACAACACAGTGAAAAATAAAAAATAAAAACATTATTTAAGGACCTGCAGGCATCAACACTACTGAACAGCTCCACCTTATGGAGAGTTTAGTGGATTAATAGATAATGTGATGTAGTTTGGTGTTCATGGTCTGTTGTTGCAGCACAGAGCAGGACTACAAAGCAGAGATGAGCTGCCATGGTTACCTTTGAGCAGAGCTCCTCTGTTCTGAGGTTCAATCAGCTCCTGGTCGTCCATGTTGCCGTCTGAAACACACATGGTGATTTTCGTAATGATTGGTTTCTAATGAGGACTTAATTAAAAAAGGAATGAACAAGCTTTACTAAGTGCTTGAATAAAAAACAAGGTAAAAATGCTTTTTTAGGGACTTTGACATATTTCTTTCATTTCATTTTCAGCAACTTCTGCGAGGTTCTAATTAGTTAATTACTGAATTTATATCAAGAACATCATTTAAAAAAAAAGGTGATGATTATTCCAGGTTGAAGTCATGACAGACTAAATTCAACATTATTAATTTAAAAAAGATAGTTTTACAGCACAGAAACCTTGAAATTAAAACTAATGAAAGAAAAGTATGATAAAATAAAGACGGAGGGAGTCACACAGATGAGACTTAAATTCGATTTACATTACATTTGTTGTGTTTTACTGACCTGACGTGTCGTCACTGCTGCGGTCTTTGCTGGGACTCAGAGTGTCTGACATGTCGGACTCTTTGCCATCGGTCTGGTTCTCTGTGGAAACACAGACACACACAAACAAAGATTAACCAGGAAGGGACAACATTGGTATACAAATCAGTATAAAACCAGCAAAAGATACAAAAAGAAGAAATTACCAAAATAGATAGGCATTGAAAAATGAATAGGTCACCACACGTATGTGAACCTGTGTCCTTGTGTGTGTAGTGAAAGGACTGGATTCCAGTGTGTGAGGCGCTGCGGGGTTCAGGTGGTGGAACAGAAACAACAAAGCAGCAGCTTAGCTTCACAGCTTTAGTATATTCACTGTTAAACGCTCATGTTCATCTATTTTTCTGTATTCAATCTGATTTTTAGACACTGGCAGTGAGAAAATGTGGTTATTCCTCACATTATCAAAGGACAGTTTAGACTTGTTCTTAATCAAGTTTAGAATGGAGTAAGGGTTGGGAAGGGTTCAGACATGTAGTTGTGGCGGTTAACATTACAGGATTTGTGAGGCATTTTTGTAATCAGAGCTCCAAAAGTATAGAAAAACATAAAAAATGATATGCATATCCAGAGAATTTGTGTTGTGATTCAAAGCCCCCACACACAGCTGCTGCTGAGCCTGAGCATTGTGTATGGATGACTGTCAGAGCTCTTACAACAGCTAAGGCAGAGGTCAAAGGTCTGAGGTCAGTATAGTAGGATGTCTCCATGTCAGCAGATTCTACCCTTTGTGGCTTCCCAAAAAAACAAGTCACTGCCACCGTCGCTAGTAAATCCAGATACCTATGGATATTCTCAAATGTTAAATTAAAACAAGTAATAAACAAGTAGTGCTGGGGGGAAACGATTATTTTGAAAACGATTAATCGGGCGATTATTTCATCGATTAGTCGACTAATCTAACGATTATTTTTCTGTTGTTCGATTTATAAAAAACATAATGTATCTCAAATAAAGACCAAAAAACATTACTTCATTCATGACAACTGCGCACCAGCTTACGTGCAGCCCTGGCCTGGACATTGCTTGGCTCCGTTAGTTGACATACATTGATACTATAAGCTGACTAACGTTAGTCTAATGTTATGTTTGACTCGTAAACGACCACAACATGAGTTAGCTCTCTGTGCAGTTTGTTCGTTCCGGGTTAGAAGGGGCTAGATAGCGGTGTTCTGCAGACGTAAACTAGCTACCATTCCATCCAACATTAAATGCTGACAAACGTTAACTAACACACAGCTGGCGCCGCTAGCTAGGTAGCTAACATTAACTACTAACCAACCGAGCACGAACAAACCGCACGGAGAGCTATAAGATAGTTAGCACTACCGAAGTGCACAGAACTCAAGCTGCACAACACACTAGGGCTGTTCCTATTTATGAATATGCTTTTATTTTGAAGGAGAGGTAGCGCTGTTGACAGGAAGTTGTTGTTGCTATGGAAACAACGTGACGGAGATCAACGGAGAAAAGTAATATCTACATATAAAGACGGAGAAAGTAAAGGATCAAGTTTATGGTTAAGTGTTAGCATCCCCCGAACAAGCTCTTACGTTGATATTGGAGATTTCAATAAATTCAATTTGAAAGACCTAGGGCGAGATGTTTTTGTTTGGGGGCTTTTTGCAGGGCTTCGTGCGCAATCCTGTGAGGAGGAGGTGGTAGCCGTTTCAGTCTCCATAGTGTTTAAAGTGCGATTGCGAACTGCTTGTTGTTGTTTTGGGTGACCCACGTGTGTGTGGCGATGCGTCGACGAGGAAATATGTCGTCGACGATATTTTGAAGTCGACGCGTCGACGTATCGCTACAGCACTATAAGCAAGAACTGGAACCTAAATATAATTGTTGGTAAGTCTCTATGGGTTATTTTATACCTAACAACATAAACCTGTAAACCATTCAATCCACCACATCGTTTTTTGTATATGTTTCAATATATATTGATGTTGTGGATGTTTCAAGTCTCATGTTGTCAAATGTGAAAATCGAAATATCATTTAAGAAGCATGTTTGCATCGAAACCAAAAATGGTATTCAATCAATAAATCATAAATATCTCTGGGGGGTAATTGGCTTACCTTACAATTGCCTTTATTTTTAAATAACCTTATAAAGATATGTGCGTTATACTACGAAGTATGGAAGAATAGAAATAAGAAATATCTTTTTGAAAGAATATGTAAATGTATATAAAAACTGTGTAAATGATGCAAGATGAGTTTGTGAGTGTAAGTGTGAGTGTGTGTGATCTACCTTTGAGTCGGTCAGGGCTGGCCAGGATGTCGTCTTCTCCCGACTGGTTGTTCTGTAGGTGGGCATCCATCACTTCTACAAATACACCATTTTTTCAAAGGTTATGTTTAATATTCAATATTTTTTTGTTCAATCAACATAACTCATTGAAATGTTGTCTTAGAGAGCATTTTTACAAAACAATGATATGAAATCCCCTCACCCATAAAGCAGATAATACACTGAACGAAGTAAAAAACAGAAGGGTAATATCCATTGCCATCAAATAATCATAAAAGCACAAGAACAAATCCATGTGGGAGTCGATTTGAAATCAGTCTCATAAGATTAAGGATGTGTTTGATCTCTGGTTTCTAATGTTGGTTAACAGAAAGGTCTTTATATTTGAAGCTTAGTTGAGCTCTTACCATCAAAGTTGGCCAGTTTGTGGATGGAAGAACTTACAGCCTCCTTCAGCTGTTTGACTGCTGCAGGGAAAAGACAAGGAAAAGAAAGAATGAGTGAATAAAGCCAATTTCAATGAGTAAGGAAACAACACATTACAACCTCTATCTTTTTAAATATTTCCCAAACTCAAATGTCCAATAGACCGACTTGACATCCTGCTAATACAACAACAACAAAACTGTGACATGTGTGCCTGGATAGATTTGTGCCGAAATTTCTTATTTGATCCTATATATCACAAAAAAAAGAATTGTTGTCGCCAGGTATTACAAGAAAAAGTAAGTATGCTTTATGTATATTATCAGAACTGCAAAAAGTCCAGGATAATAACAACATGTTAAAGTAAATAACGTTTTTAGAAACGTACGGATGCTTTAACCTTTCACTATCATTCCACATAGGATGCCTAGATATTCTTTCATCAGATGCTACTACAATAAACAAACAACAAAACAGCCTGATCTGAAATGTTATTCCTGAATGCAAGTCCTCCTGATCCATAGAAAGCCGCCAGTCTGCATAAAAGTTGGCTATTCTAATTGCAAAGAAGAGAATTCTGGTTTCTTTCCACTGTTTTCAGTGAAACAGCTTTCAGTTAAACCTCAGTAATTAGTGAGCACATGTCAACACACATCTCAGCCTATAATAACATCCACTTAGAACATCTCTACCACCCATGGAGGCAGATGAAATCCTACATGTTGTACAGCAACCAGCTACAACTTCAGGATGTAGGACTGCTAGTGTTACTAACAGCTGATAACAAATGTAACTGCTGGTCAGAAACAAAGAAAAGAAGAGATAACAGTTCAACTGATATCAGAAATATACCAAGCCATGGAACATTCCCATAGACTACATATTTAAATGGATCTACTGATTCTCTCGGTACAAGCGACCATGAAAAAAGAAAGCACCAAAAGAGAAGGATGGCAACAGAAAGACAAAGAGAGAAACTAGGAGGAGGTTTGTTGAATATGCAATGTGTGAATATCTGTTAAAGAAGAAGAAAAGAAAAGTGATTGAGATGAGAACCAGTCAGAGTGAGCAACAGTCTATTAGAACAACATTTCACTAACACTGCCAAAGAAAACACTGATTATTAGACAAGAAGTTCAATGAGACAGCTCAGCCGGGAATGACCAAAATATATTGAAGAATTTCTACACGTCTGTTTTTTTAAAGGGTGGGTTCACTCGAATCATAAAAAAGGAAAAGATGATTTCACCCTAGGCAAATACAGCAATGTCTCCAGACTTCTGGCAATAAAACACCAACTGCAATAAGCTTCAGATGTTTTCAAGAGAACATCTGACGGGGCTGGCTATGTTTATTCTTAATAATGAGGACATGGTTTCCCGAGAGATGCTGCTCTTGAGACTTTAGAGTGTAATTATTCTATGCTTTGACAATACAAATGTATTATATTCACATTCATTAGAGCTACTGGAGGTTTCATTTTATAATTCAACATCTGTGATGTCAGTGTTCCTTCATCTTTAGATTTGACTAACATTGTTCAGAAGTTCACTGATAAAAACTACTTCTGGAAAAATTCATTTTAAAACATAAAGCCATGGAAAAACTTTCTCTGCCAAAATGTTAAGTTGACATCTCTCACAAAGTTTGGGTTAAAATGTATAAATGTGTAAAGCTTGTTAATAAAATGACCATTGTGCTTCAAATGATGAGATATTAGGTAATCATTAGGAGAAAATACATTTTCCCTTTTCACTATCTTTAACAGGAACCTATAATCCTACATTTCAGGTTTCATAATTCAATTCTGATTGGTTAGCTGGCCGGCTCTGATGTGATTGGCCAATCGCTTAAAGATGTCCTACCCTTTAGCTGTCGTGCACAATGCTAAAAAAACATAACAAAAATCATCCATTCCCCATCAGTAGGTGATGCTCGTCCCATAACAGAAGCAATACAAAAAAAACACCTCTGACAAATCATAATCCAATTTGACTACTTAAAACCAGCATAGCCAATAGAAGAGTGAGTGTTACATAGTGATGTCACTATGTTTCTGAAGTAAACAAAGGAGTCCAATAGAGGCAGGAGAGTATGTGGAGGGAACTTTGAGATGTTCTCCTTTGCAGACCATTTACATGCACACAAACCTTTAGAACACTACAGGAGAGGGTTAGGGTTAGGGTTAAACCCCAGAAAGCATATGGGTCCCTTTCATTATAAAATTCCGACTGCATTTCCCATCACAGGTACCTTTTACAATAAAAAAAACAAATGTATCTTTTCATTTCGACAGTCAAATAAAAACCAAGAGAATCAGCATCGGAGTTTTTAAATCAAGTATTTAAAAAAACATATCTTTATTTTTGCTCTTTCTCTGGCAGCATCTGTGCTTCCGTGTGTGTTTCTCCATATTCCTTTGAGTGTGTGTTTAGCATAGAGCAGGTGTGGACGTGTGTACTACTCACGCGGACATTCAATCAACTGTTGGATTCTAGTCGAGTCTCCTCCGCTGTTGTTAACATGACAGTTGTCTGATAGGAACACAGAGCACTGACAATTACTAAGATATCTATCAGGAGTGGAGCTGGGTATTTAGTTCAGATGTTTTTATAGACTCTGCTCATCAATGCCACATTTCATTCTATCTTATTATTCAAAAATGTAAATAACACAAAACGCATCGTTTATTGAAGCAGATTTCCCTCTGATTATTATTGTATCTATTATAGTTTTAACTGTGTCTTAATTCCTTAAACTGCAAGTTCAAAAATATTTATTATTTTAAAAAATGAGTATTCTCCATCCTACCATACATACGTTGAATTTTCCCTTGTTTTCCCTCTGGTATTTTAATTGACTAATACAAGTGAATAATTACATAAAACTACGGGAAAAGGTTTCAGCATGTTGTATAGCCTTATTTACTTATTCATTTGATATTAAGTCTGTTTTATTGTGACAATGCACGAGTATGCATATTTGATTACATTCTGGATTTGATAAGCAGAATCAAAAACATCTTAATAAAGCTCTCTAAATACCCAACCCTGTTTTGGGGAGAAGATGAGATATAAAGAGCTGAAGACAGAAGTCATGATGGGGAAAAGACAGACGGATACAAGATGGGTAGCAGAGAAATAGATAACTGCAAGGACAGAAAGGTGCTTGAAAAACAAACGAGCGGGAGGAAGTCAAAGCCACACACGACAGCAGCTATTTACAGACAAATAAAAAGTCAGACAGTGTTTCTGGACAGATGCCACAACACGTGGACAGGCAGACAGACAGCTGAGTCTCTCAGTGACTTCCACATATTACCATCAGAATGTGGAAATCACCGGGCCAACTGTTAAACCCTGACTTCATGATAACAATCCAGTCCTCTCTTTATTATCAATCGGGAGAGGTTTCTGCATCACAGGACCAACTCACAACTCTGAGTAGAAACTCAAGATGTCACCAAAACAAAAAGTGAAATCTAAAAACAAAAAAAATCGACTCAACAATCCCACAGAGTGACGTAGGTGCAGTCACCTGACATTATCCAGGCAGAACATGTGCATTTCTTTAAATTAACCCCTAGGTTTAATGTCTTTATCGAACATGTCTGGGGGACCAAACCTACGGTTCCCTTGCTTAAATCGCATCTTGTTTTTTTTGTTGGTCATGGTGTTTTGGTTTACCTTAAAAAATATAATATACAAAAAAATTAAATAATAAATTATCATCATTGTTTTAAAAATAGAAAGATATATAAATGGATAAACTCAAGTTATATTAACAAATACATCTGGAATCATCTCAAACAATATGGTAAACAAAGCCACATCTTGGACTCTCGTCTCTATTATATCTATTCATTTAATAGAAATTATTTTTTACTAACTAGTTTAAACTTCTTCCTAATTGTGCTGTTTTATATCGGACTGTTTAGGTACATTTTATGAAGCAAAACCTGCCAAAGATCATTGTCTTATGTAAATTGAGATGTCTATTATTATGGTAATTAAACTGACTACCATCAGCATCTTCATCTTCACCAAATGCACCATCATCAGTGTCAGTGTCCCCATCATCATCCTCGTCTTCCTCCTGGCTCTCAGGGGTCTGCAGGCTCAGTTTCTCCTCCACAGCCTCCTCTACTGGTCGGTGGGAGGCAATGTCCACATCTGTCATGTGACCAGATCAGATATATATATATATATATACACACATATATAGGATTTTGTCCCAGCCAAAACACATGTTCACAACCGAGTGGAAACGACGGCAAATTCCTTTGCAAAGTGGCAAAGTGAGCAGTGACACCTCCAGCATTCTTATTCAGTGTTTTCATTCAATCACCAAGAAGTCAATCAGTGACCAGAAGCTCTTTTTCCCCAGAGGTAGAAAAAACTAAGTAGTGGACAGTTTGGCAACCGTGGAAACAACCCAGATTATCCAGAAACCCCAACAAGAAAGCCACCGTGAGACAACTTAACTAAAAACATGCATCCCCATCCTGTCATTCAAAGGTCACAAGGCTTTGGCACAGGGGCCATAGTTGAAATGATGGATTAGTGACATACTTTAAAAACACTTCTCTGGCTCATTTGGTAGAGCTGGTGGCCCGTGTACTGGGGCTCAGCTCCTGCGGGTTCAAATCCTGCAACTCTCAATTCTTTTAAATCACGAGTTTTCTGTTTGCAGCTGCCTTTTAATAAATCGATCCTTCTTCTTTTTTTAACACTGCACTGTTACTTGTATTTTATACTAGGTCTACTGGTTCCTGAATCTTACTCAGGGAAAAATAAGTTATTCTCTGTAAATGACTTAATATCATTGACTGAATATACTGAGGGCTAATGGGGACCCTAATTACATCACATGTCTCCTTAAACTGTCGGAGGAAACCTGTGGGCCGGACATCAAGCCACCAGACAAAAACAGAAGGAGAAGAGCCAGACATCCACGGTGACAGACAGAGAGACGGATGAACAGAGAGCAAAATGAAGTGATGTGGACATCATGCAGGAAGTTGTCATGCGTTATTAGTGCAGGGAGAGGAAGTGAAGTTAGTGAGACAAACGGTGGCGGAGATGACGAGAGTCCCCGAGCAGAGACATGTGCACTCACCCAGGCTGTTGTTTTCTTTTATGCTTTTCTCTTGTAGCTGTTCTAACCGCACTGTAAATAACAACAGCAAAGAGAAACATTGACTGACAGGAAGACCCAGCTGAGCCCTGTGATTGGTCAAAAGCGAGACCCGACCCAGCGACTGGTTGTTATTGTAATTTTTGTGTTAAAGTTAAAAGTGATTGGCTCGGACGATGCACGTTAAAGGTTAGGACAAGACTGTGTGTGCTAGGAGAAGAAAAATACCTGGATGTGTTGTTGTTGTTTGATGTGTGATGTGCATGTTTAGAATAATCAAATAAAAAATTATACGTTTTTAAGTAAAAATTATGAGAATATACAACATTCTCATTAAGGAAAAAGCAAAATATTTTTTTTAAATTTAATTTAGTTTTAATTAGTGTTTATAATGAAAAAGTTACCGTAATTTTCGGACTATAAGGCGCACCTGAATATAAGCCGCAGCAGCGGCATACCACTCTCGGTTCCACTTTTACTTTTGCACGCTACCTGTCTCACTCTTTTCCGGCCTCCAGCTTTTCCTGCTGGAACCCGCCGCTTAAAGGTGGGGGTCCGCGGACCGGCCATAGAGCCCATAGAGTTAAAGGTGTTGGCCGTTAGCTGTAAAAATCCATAGATTAGCCGCACCGTTATATAAGCCGCAGCGTCGAAAAATAGGGAAAAAGGCGCGGCTTATAGTCCGAAAATTACGGTACTTAGAACATGGATTTGGATTTAATATGAAAATGAATAATTATACATATTTGTGCTTTCTTTCTTGGCAGAGTCTGTGCTTGCATGTGTGTGGGCATGAGTGTGGGCATGAGTGTGGGCATGAGTGTGGGCGTGTGTGTGTGTGTGTGCGTGTGTGTGTGCAAGTGTGTGTGTGTGTGTGTGTACCCTGCAGGGCGGCCAGCGTCTCGTTGGTGAAGTCGTTGTCGGCCTGCAGAGCTTCGATGCGAGCCTGGAGAACCTGCTCCTTCTCCTCCATCTCCTCGATCCGCAGCTCCAACTCCCTCTTCTCCATCGCCCCCCGCTGGGTCAGCTCCTCCTGCCGGCCCTCCGCCTCCTGGAGAAAAGAGAGTTTTACAAGACAAAGCAAGGACTAGAGTATGCAATGAAAAGATCCATGTGCGGTGATCCTTTTTAGCTCTTCCCATAGGGATGTTTAAAAATTGTGTATTTCAGAATATTAACACCAAAAATGACATTGGTGTGGCACCAGTGGTTGCGTAACATTTCCACCATAATCCATTATTACCCGTCATTTTATTTTTCATGTTTTAATGATGAGATGAGACATATTTAATATGTATGTTTGGGTACTGAGCAGCAAATGTTCATTCATTCATTTTTTTTAATGATTCATACAGAACTTTTAAGGGCATGGAGAAGAAAAAAAGATGAACAGAGACACCGACCGTGTGGTCACTTTTCATGTCAACACAAACATGAATGATTTATTTTTTCCTGCACTGACAGCACAGCAGAGGGGGGCAGAGGCCGCTAAAAACACTGCGACCATTGTGCCTAAACAGGCAAATACGAACAATGCCATCGTTTTAAATGAGACAATTACAATCAGAATATGAACAAAACATTTACAAGAACAACTCAATTGATCTGCTGTAGTCTAGCCTGAACGCTGATTTCTGCATCGTCGTGCACCCTCGGACAAATCCGTTACTCATCTTAGCTTTTCTACAGATGTCGCAGAACATTTTGCCATCTTCCCTCCTCAGCCACTTAAACTCTTGCTCCCACTGAACCCGGTACTCCCGCTTGAACTCCTTGCCACTTGCTTGCCCCTCTGCCGCTGGCCGAACGTTGTCAGTTTTAGTCTTACTGGCTTGTCCTTCATCCTC